GAGAAAGCATGGAAGGAATAGGAAAACTTGGCGCTCTGAGAGGCGCGGAGCGCCAGACCCAAAATGCCAGAGAAGGCCTGATGGCGTACTGAGAGGCGCGGCGTCCCAAGGGGAAAACCTCAGAGCCCCTTTTGGGGCGCGCTGGCAGGCGCGACGCGCCAACCCCCTTGCCCAGAAACTCGACTTTTCTCCCCTTTTTCTTCAACTCTAAACCATCCTTACTTCAAAGGATCTAATCCCAAACACTAAGGATCATCATATCCCTCAACGTACCATGGATTACAACTCAAAACACAACCCAATCATGTCTCACAACCAACAACAACTTCAACAACACAACTAACAACATCAATAACAACTTCAACAACACAACTAACAACATCAACAACAACTAACAACTTCAACAACAATTCCAATATTTCCTCAAATCATAAAATGAGATTGGTGTGTGGGGGAAAGGATCAACCCACACCAAGAACTCACATACCTTGATAGGGATCACCCCCGACGATTTTCACGACGGAAACTTGTTGATCTCCTCTTCTTCTCTTCTTCTTCTCCTTCTTTTCTTCACTCTCAAGAACCCTAACTTTCTCTCTTTAAAATGGAATAAAAATGATCCAAAGTCAGCCTAACACACCATATAATCCCAAAAGAAATGGCTAGGGAAAAAGACCAAAATGCCCTTAATTTCCCGGACAGATTACCCTGCCAACTGCCCAACTTCTAAAAGGCATAACTTGCTCATACGAACTCGGAATCGAGCAAACTCGGTGGCGTTGGAAAGGTCATTCCACAATCTTCACAACCATAACTGGAACTACTCCTAAATCATCCTGAGCTGGAATTTATGACTGCTCAAAGTTGGCCAAACACTCACTGATTTCCACACTTGGCCAAATTCCAGATTTTTAATTTTTCAAAAAAATGACTATTTCCAAATTTCAAGCTTTTCCATAGTTATTTCAAATTGCCGGATGTTACATTTTTAAGGCTCGAGTTGCAAGTTAAGTATGGAGTTCCAAGTTAAGTATAGATTTCCAAGTTAAGTATAGAGTTTCAAGTCAAGCAAAGAGTCTCAAGTTTCAAGTCAAGTAAAGAGTATCGAGTTTCGAGATAAGTCAAGAGTCAAGAGTTGAGTTCATTTCTCAAAAGTTATTAGGGAACTAAGTATTTCCCCAAAGAAGTTTATAAATGTTTTCACATTTAAGATGAGAGGAAACTGAGATTTCCAAAAAAGTTTTGAGAAGTTTGAGTACTATCTCTTTTTGAGAAAAGATGAGTTTTGCAAAAGAGTTTCTAAAACATGATTAGTATGACAAATCGAGTATGTCATCAATGTTTAAACATTATGGTCTCTAGATATACCATCAATGTTTAAGTAGTATGAATATCCCGAGTCATCAATGATCATATTAAAAATATGGTTTTGAGATGTTCTTTTTAAAGAGAGTTTTTCAAGAGCCTTTGGGCTAAGTTTTGAGTAATTATCTCAACTAAAGAAAGATGTGTTTAAAACACTTATGAGCTAAAGTATTTTTGGGAGTAGTCTTGAGTACTGAATTGGGGACACGAGTTCATATTAACTCAAATCTTCATAAGAGCCATGTAGCCAACATGGGACTTAACGGGTCATACTTTTTAGATGGTCACGTAAAGTTAAGCTAGTGGATCCACTTGGTAAAGTTAGCTTCATATATCACGGTAAGGTATAGATGGTCCTTGGGCAACGTGAGGTAAAACGTTGTATCACTACTTAAGCATGTAGTGGTTGTTATCGGTTATAGAACTCCCACAGTAGAAAAAGCTTGGTTCCTCGAAAAGTTCTGCTTAGTGTGGATGGGGGTATGAGACTTCATTCATGCATTGCACAAGTTGACTTTGAAAGGAAGCATGGTATTTTCATGATATTATAAATATGATTTTTACGTCATGATTTAAATAGTTTTACAAGCTTTATATATATTGCATGTGTCTCATTGCTTTATATTGAGTTCAATAATTCATGAGTTGAACAGAGCCAAGGTAAGTTCTCTATTGTATCCCTTTCTAGATTAAGTTGTTGTTTAGCGGTCCAGGTCGCATACTCGTACATTCCATGTACTGATGCCAGTTGGCCTGCATCGTCTTATAATGCAGACGCAGGTACCCAAGATCAGCATCCAGTACGCCGTTGATCCAGATGAGCACTCCAGAGTCAGTGGTGAGCCTCCTTGCATTCCAGAGGACTCAATTATTTATGTTCTTAAGTTTTGTTTTATTAGGATGTTGCGGGGTCTGTCCCAACATCCATCTCAGTATTTTAGAGGCTTCATAGACAGACAGTCAGTTAGTTTGAGTCTCTCTTTTGTGTATATATATATGTAAATATTCTATTTTGAGACTCGAGTTGCCGTTTTGGCCAGATTTTATCAGTTGGTTGTTTTATAAACTTTCATTGCATTGAGTTATGCTTTTGAGATAAGTTTCTGCTGAGTTAAGAAAGCCAGGCTAAGGGTTCGCTTGGGGCCAGCAATGGTCTCCGAGTGCCGATCTCACCCAGGGTGTAGGCTCGGGGCATGACAAACTTGGTATCAGAGCAAGTTCAAGAGTCCTATGGAGTCTATGAAGCCGTGTCTGTAGAGTCTTAGTTATTGGTGTGAAGCGCGCCACATCTATAATTGGGAGGCATTTAGGAAGATTTCTCACTTCTTTCATACTCATCTCGTCCGTTAGAGTTTATCTCTAAAGAGTTTCTTCCTTATTCATACTTGCGCGTATTTCAGAGGATCATGCCTCCACGAAGAGCAGTCAGAGTTCACCCAACTATGAGGAGTATTGAGGAACAAGAGTTACCAAGTGCCCAAGAAGTGCAAACCCAAGAAGAGATCAAGTACGCTGATTTTTGTGAAGCTATCCGGATGTTAAGTCAAGTTGCGACCTATCATGTTAGGCAGGGAGATAATCGACACGAAGTGGTTGATACTTCAAGAATCCGTGAACTCTTAAGGATGAACCCACCAAGCTTCACAGGTTCAAGTATTAGTGAGAATCCGGAGAACTTCATTGAGGAGCTTAAAAGGGTATTTGATGTGATGCATGTTGCTGAGTCGGAGAGGGTGGAACTAGTTGCATACCAATTGAAGGGTGTCGCTAGAATCTGGTTTGACCAATGGAAAGAGAATAGGGCTGAGGATGCGCCAGTAGTGAGTTGGGTTGTGTTTGAGAGTGCTCTCATGGGGTGTTTCTTTCCTCGTGAGTTGCAAGAGGCAAAGATCAAAGAGTTTCTCACCCATAATCCAGAGTCTATAAGTGTTCATGAGTACAGTCTGAAACTCACACAACTTTCCTGCTATGCTCTGGAGATGGTTGCTGACATGAGGAGCATGATGAGTTTATATGTTGTTGGGTTGTCTCGTCAGTCAAGCAAGGAAGGCAAGACATCTATGCTGATAGGGGATATTGACTTAGCAAAATTTATGATCCATTTACAACAAGTTGAGAAGGATAAGTTGAATGATAGAGAAGAGTTTAAGGATAAGAGGGCTAAGATAGTAGGGGACGAGTTCATGTAGCAAAAAAATGATGCTAATTAGTCATCTCTCCCACAGAAACAGAAGGGACCTGCTCCACCATCTGCTAGTACACCTGCACTTGAGAACAAAGATGGGTACAATAGAAATTCCTATAATTTCAGGGCTAGACCTGCCTATCCTCAAGGAAGTATAGTACCAAGGGGTAGTAAGGCTCCTGCATGTGCTAGATGTGGTAGGGTTCATCAAGGGAAGTGTCGTCAAGGCCAGACAGGTTGCTTTAAGTGTGGACAAGAAGGTCATTTCATGAAGTAGTGCCCAAAGAGCAGGCAAGGTAGTGGAAATATGAGCAGTAGGGCCCAAACTTCATCAGTTGCTCCCCCAGACAGGATGGTACCTAGAGGAGCTACTTCTAGTACTAGCGGAGGAGCAAACTGCCTTTATGCAATCAACAGTCGCCAAGAGCAAGAGGATTCGCCAGATGTTGTCACTGGTATGATTCGAGTCTTTGACTTTGCTGTTTATGCTTTGCTAGACCCCAAAGCGAGTTTATCTTTTGAAATTCCTTATGCTGCTATGAACTTTGATGTTATACTTGAGCAACCTAGTGAGCCTATTACAGAGTAGAGTTGTAGTTCAGTAGGGCCTAAGGGTCGTTTCTTTTCGTACCTTAAGGTGAGAAAGTTAGTTTCGAAGGGTTGTATCTATCACTTAGTCCGAGTTAATGACTATAGTGTTGAGATACCTCCTTTTCAGTCAGTTCCTATACTAAAAGAGTTTCCAGAAGTTTTTCCTAATGATCTACCCAGAATTCCTCCTGAGAGAGAAATAGATTTCGGCATAGACATCATTCCAGATATTTGTCCTATCTCTTTTTCGCCTTATAGAATGGCACTAACAGAGTTGAAAGAGTTGAAAGAGTAATTAAAGGGATCTGTTAGATAAGGGTTTGATTTGACCAAGTTGACTAGGAAGAACAATGAATTTTCAACGGTTTAAAGCTTGTGAGGAAGACTTTCAGGAATGGAAAGAGAAGTTGAGTACCGCCTAGTTAGGATATTTGTTTCTTGAGTACATACTGATTATCTGAATCTAAAATGGATTTGAGATCAATAGTCGAGTTTAGGTTAATCGGGGTGTAATGTGATGAGCTAGAGTTGGCTGTTGTAGTTTTGCTTCGAAGATATGGTGTCATTGTTGTATGATGTTCATGTGGGTGTGTTCGCTTAAAATGAGCTTAGTCTCAGATAGAGAGAGAGTGGTTAAAGCACTCAAAGATGATGACATGAGTTTTCTTTATCACCCTGGTAAGGTTAATGTTGTTACTGATTCTTTAAGCAAAGTTGTCTATGGGTAGCACCGCCCATATTGAAGAAGGAAAGGGAGAGTTAGCAAAAGATGTGCATAGACTTGCATGCCTGGGAGTCAGACTTATAGATTCCGCAGAAGGAGGAGTAGAAGTGACGAGCGGGGCCGAGTTATCATTAGTGTCAGAAGTAGAAGGTGAGAAAGACTCAAACCATATCTTACGAGGATTACAGGTAAAATGCTCATAAGCAGTGATGGCTTTTGAACAAGGGGGAGATGGTGTTTTGAGGTATCAAGGCAGATTGTGGGATCGATTTTAAGGATAATTGAGATGATTACCTATCTTGCATGGAGTTGCTTACAACGATAGTTACCATTCTAGCATCCATATGGCTCGTTATGAAGCTTTTTATGGGAGAAGATGTAGATCTCTTTTTGGATGGTTTGAAGTTAGTGAAGCAAGGTTGATAGATCCAGAGTTAGTTCCTCAAGGTATAGAGAAGGCGAAAGTGATTCAAGAGAGGTTGAAAACGACACAGAGTCGTCAAGAATCCTACATTGATGTTAGGAGAAAGGCGTTAGAGTTCGAAGTAGAGGATTGTGTATATTTGAAAGTTTCAACCATGAAAGGAGTCATGAGGAGATTCATGTTCAGATTCTAGACCGTCAAAGTTCGCAAGTTGAGAACGAATTTGTTGAAGAAGAGATATCCACATCTCTTTGAGTCCGGAAGAAATGCAGATTAATGTACTAATTTCCTTCTTAGTGCTCTTTTAATTATAATGAGCATGTTGTGGTTGTTGTTGCGTTTCCATGGTTGCTTGTTGGGTATTTGAGTTGATGTTACACCCTTAGCTAGTAAGAGTAATCTCATTCGAGGACGAACATTCCCAAGGGGGAGATATTGTAACACCCGACAATTTGGAATAACTATGAAGAGGCTTAGAATTGGAATTTTCATTTTTGGAAAGAATTTAAAATTCTGGAAATTTGGCTAAGTATGGGAAAAATGAGTTTTTGGCCAACTTTGAGCAGTCATAACTCCTAGCTCAGGATGAGTTAGGAGTAGTTCCAGCTATGTTGCGAAGCTCGTGGAATGACCTTTCCAATGCCACCGAGTTTGCTCGATTCCGAGTTTGTATGAGTGAGTTATGTCCTTTGAAAGTTGGGCAGTTGGCAAGGAATCCGTCCTGAAATTTTAAGAGCAATTTGGTCTTTTCCCTAGCTATTTCTTTTGGTTATATACTAGTGTTGGACTGATTTTTAGATCATTTTGTTCCATTTGAAAAGAGTGAGAATGAGGGTTTTGAGTGAAGAAGAGAAGAAAAAGAGCAGAAGAGGAGAAGAAGAGGAGAAAGGGAAGATCAAGCAAGGAGATCATTGTGGATTTCGTCGGGGGTGATCCCTATTAAGGTATGTGAGTTCTTAGTGTTGGGTTGATCCTTTCCCCCACACACCAATCTTGTTTTATCTTTGAGAAAAGATTGGTCATGTTGTTGAAATTGTTGGGTTGTGTTGTTGATTGTAGTGTTGAAGTTCTTGTTGATTTGGGACATGTTTCCGGTTGTGTTGTGAGTTGAAATCTATTGTATGTTGAGGGGTTTATGATTCTAAGTGTTTGGGGCTGGATCCATTGAAGTTAAGGAGGTTTAGAGTTGGAGAAAACTAAGAAGAAAAGTCAGTTTTCGGGGAAAAAGGGTGGGGCGTCGCGCCTGTCAGCATGCCCCAAGAGGAGCTCTGAACTTTTCCCCTTAGGGTGGCGCGCCCATCAGAGCGCCAGTAGGCCTCCTCTGTAATTTTTGGTCTGGCGCTCCGCGCCTCTCAGAGCGCCAAGTTTTCCCATTCCTTCCCCACTTTCTCATGCATGTTCCTAGGCATTATACCGATGTTTCATAGTTGTTTCCAACAGTCCAAAGTACGTCTAAACATCAAGAATCCCTCCATAACATGTGATCAAACACCTTGAATTCATAATTCCAATTCAAGGAAAGTTAGATTCCAAGTCAAGTGAAGTTAGTTTCCAAGTCAAGTGAAGTTAGTTTCCAAGTCAAGTGAAGTCAAACTTAGAAGTAAGTAAGTCAAAGCAAGTCTGTAAGGTTTTCCAAGAGTCTTCATTGAACGTTTTAACTTCTTTTTAATTCTTGAGTTCCAAGTTAAGTATAGAGTTTCAAGTCAAGCAAAGATTCTCAAGTTTCAAGTCAAGTAAAGAGTATCGAGTTTTGAGATAAGTCAAGAGTCAAGAGTTGAGTTCATTTCTCAAAAGTTATTAGGGAACTAAGTATTTCCCCAAAGAAGTTTATAAATGTTTTCACATTTAAGATGAGAGGAAACTGAGATTTCCAAAAGAGTTTTGAGAAGTTTGAGTACTATCTCTTTTTGAGAAAAGATGCGTTTTGCAAAAGAGTTTCTAAAACATGATTAGTATGACAAATTGAGTATGTCATCAATGTTTAAACATTATGGTCTCTAGATATACGATCAATGTTTAAGTAGTATGAATATCCCGAGTCATCACTGATCATATTAAAAATATGGTTTTGAGATGTTCTTTTTAAAGAGAGTTTTTCAAGAGCCTTTGGGCTAAGTTTTGAGTAATTATCTCAACTAAAGAAAGATGTGTTTAAAACACTTATGAGCTAAAGTATTTTTGGGAGTAGTCTTGAGTACTGAATTGGGGACACGAGTTCATATTAACTCAAATCTTCATAAGAGCCATGTAGCCAACATGGGACTTAACGGGTCATACTTTTTAGATGGTCACGTAAAGTTAAGCTAGTGGATCCACTTGGTAAAGTTAGCTTCATATATCACGGTAAGGTATAGATGGTCCTTGGGCAACGTGAGGTAAAACGTTGTATCACTACTTAAGCATGTAGTGGTTGTTATCGGTTATAGAACTCCCACAGTAGAAAAAGCTTGGTTCCTCGAAAAGTTCTGCTTAGTGTGGATGGGGGTATGAGACTTCATTCATGCATTGCACAAGTTGACTTTGAAAGGAAGCATGGTATTTTCATGATATTATAAATATGACTTTTACGTCATGATTTAAATAGTTTTACAAGCTTTATATATATTGCATGTGTCTCATTGCTTTATATTGAGTTCAATAATTCATGAGTTGAACAGAGCCAAGGTAAGTTCTCTATTGTATCCCTTTCTAGATTAAGTTGTTGTTTAGCGGTCCAGGTCGCATACTCGTACATTCCATGTACTGATGCCAGTTGGCCTGCATCGTCTTATAATGCAGACGCAGGTCCCCAAGATCAGCATCCAGTACGCCGTTGATCCAGATGAGCACTCCAGAGTCAGTGGTGAGCCTCCTTGCATTCCAGAGGACTCAATTATTTATGTTCTTAAGTTTTGTTTTATTAGGATGTTGCGGGGTCTGTCCCAACATCCATCTCAGTATTTTAGAGGCTTCATAGACAGACAGTCAGTTAGTTTGAGTCTCTCTTTTGTGTGTATATATATGTAAATATTCTATTTTGAGACTCGAGTTGTTGTTTTGGCCAGATTTTATCAGTTGGTTGTTTTATAACCTTTCATTGCATTGAGTTATGCTTTTGAGATAAGTTTCCGCTGAGTTAAGAAAGCCAGGCCAAGGGTTCGCTTGGGGCCAGCAATGGTCTCCGAGTGCCGGTCCCGCCCAGGGTGTAGGCTCGGGGCGTGACATGTTGTTTGAAGATGTTTTCGGTACTAAATTCTTTGATGTGATTCTGTACATAAATGACACATGGCCTGATGATTTTAAGGTATTTCTGGAAGGTCCTATGATAGTCGTGGTTGAACTCGATGCTGATTTGTCTGAATTTGGACCTCTATCTATTTATTTTGAACATCATATTCTGGCACATCTTATTGCCACTACTCTCATTCCTAGAAAGGCTCTCTGAGTATCATATGTACTCGGGATGTGTTTGTACTTTACTATTTGCAGAAGAAGTACTGCATTAACTGGGCGGTGTCGTTCAAAGAGTATATTCTGGAAAGTGCTGAGGATTCAAACACTTCTGCCTGTTTACCTTATAGGCTGCTCATCTCACGAATTCTGGTGGATCGAGCGGTGGACCTCTCTATGTTTAAACCTATTGAGATTAATACTACTTATGAGTCTCACACCTTTTCGTGTATGGGGTATGTGTAGGTAGGAAGAAAATGGGTGAAAAAGGACTTCGTCAAAGCCAGGGATGATTTTGTCAAGCCAACTAAAATCTCTGTAGATTCGACTACTCTCCTACTCCATGACACTGATGAACTCAAAACTCGCATCCTTGTTGCGAAATGCGGGCTGGAGACACTTTAAGATGTTGTTGAGAAGGTTTTTGGCCTTCAGAAAGATACCCGTACAGATGTTGGTAAGCCGGGCATTACAATAAAAGGGATAAAACAAGAAGGAATCTTGACTGTCAACAAGTTGATAAAGCAAGTTGATTCTCTCATGAGCGAAGTCAACTCTTCCAACACTGATCTTGTCATCTCTTTCTAGACTTCCTACTCCAGCCTTTCCAAAAATGTGGAACGCTCCTAGAATTCCTTCTATAGGAAGGTTATTAACACCCTCAAGTACTTTCTGGGTGAACACTAGCCCTCTGCTCCTATGTTTTTGCGACTCCTGAACAATCTTTTAAAGGGTTATGTCCCTTTTTTTCTGTTTCTTTTGGGTTGTATATTGAAGGCTTTTTTCCTTCCTACTTTGGTTTACTTTATTTGCTACTGCTTTTTATGATTATTGTGTGTTCTCTCTTGCTCTTTCATTTTTATTATGCCAAAGGGGGAAAATTGTCCCACAATTTCATAGACAGGAAGCAATCAAGACAGGGGGGGCTATACAGCTTAAACAAAGGGGGAGCTACAAAAATCCTCTAGACAACCACAGACAGAAATATATTAGGGAAGTTTCACTATCTCTTTAAGTCTCTATACTAAATTGTGAATTAGTTGTCATTATAAAAAAAAATGGGAGATTGTATCCCCGTAGGATCGAGTGATTTTAATAATGAAACACTTAAAAAATATGTGACTAATTGCAGGCCAAGAATTCAAAAAGAAAGAAGTCAAGCATACAACACCCAAGCACTATTAAAGAAGGAAAGAGATAATATGTGATTACTAAAGAAGGAAGATCATAAATTAAGGGATACATAATCAATTCAAGATAGCCACAATCCTGGCGTCTGATTAGGATAAATCAAAT